ATACAGATGTGAGTAAAAAAAGCAATTTCTATCATAATAGGATTTGGACATCCTGTATTAATTGAATAGTTTGTGAAAACCAATGTCATTACAGCTGGGGCATTTAATTTCTTTATTGTTTATAGGATTTTCCTATTTAATATATATCTTTCAGTGAAAGAATGTGTAAGAATGTTTTTGGTGATTTATTTGCTAGACCAGTGCTGTTGCAGAAGCTCAAAAATTGATGGTTCAAGCAGCAGATCTTCTTTCTGCCATTCATAATTCATTGCATCATGGTATCCAGGCCCAGAATGATACCACGAAAGGAGGTAATTGCCCGTTTTGCCCCTATTCTTTTTTCTTCTTTCCCATCCAAAATATACAGTGTCTGGTTTATTTTAAAACTTTAAGTCGGTCTCCTTGGACCTTGGAATGTTTTACTTCATCCAGAGAGTGGTTAGGCTCCCTTCTTCTTACATGTATTCTAGACTGAAAGCAGTTCTGTAGAACTTGGGCATCTTCTGTATTAAGTATATACCCTGTCTTGTGTTCATGTTGTGATGTCAGTAGTGACTTCTTATTTAATCACCTCTCTTCTTTACTTCTTTGGGAGATCATCACCTCATTATATAGTCTGCTCTGACTCCACCTGGCAGGCCTAGGTGCCTCAGTGGCCTCATTGTACTCGTACATGCCTCTGTTATAATAGTTTTTAGTACACTTTATTGTAATCGTTTACCTGTTTGTCTTTGCATGAGATTTTGAGTACTTTCAGGCCAAGGGCTGCCTTATTTGCATATCTCGACAGTGCTTGGCATGTTGTTGGCTCTCAGGTTTCATTTATGAAATATGCCTTAAAATAAAGGAAATATAGTATACCTTTGTTGTAAAATCTGCAGTTGGGTTAACATTTTTGATAGTGTGTACAGTTTTGATACCCTTATAACTCATTAAAATGAGATGATATTTATATTCTTTAAAATAGTGATTCTCAGTCGTTGGTTTTGTGACCATGAAGGCAANAATATAGTATACCTTTGTTGTAAAATCTGCAGTTGGGTTAACATTTTTGATAGTGTGTACAGTTTTGATACCCTTATAACTCATTAAAATGAGGTGATATTTATATTCTTTAAAATAGTGATTCTCAGTCGTTGGTTTTGTGACCATGAAGGCAAGTTTTTACTTATTCACACCCCTTTCCTTTTCCATACTTCTCTTCCTTTCAGGGACAGGAATTGTGGTGTTTCCCTTCTCGTGAGTTTTTCCTTACTAAAATTTTAGCTAGTAGAGCAGTCCAGAGGTAATTTGAGTTAGAAAATCAGTATTATTATAATCTTTATGTTTCTAGTAATTGTGCTAAATTTCTGTCAGTTCATCAATATTTTCTATTTTTCCCCTGGAAGGGGAGTATGTGTATAAGATGACTGAAAGGTTGGGGGAGGGGGAGGGATAGGGCAGTACAGCAGGGTACAGTGGGGGTAAGGATGTAGGTTACAATGATATTATGTAACCATGGGACGTGTTTTTGTATGCATAGCAACCTATGCACACGTTTACAGAGGTATAAAATATTCACAACTCTTAAATACTTTGAAATCTAGTGCAAGAATACTTTTATGAAAACTACTGTATAATATTTACTACTTCAGAGTAATTTGTCGCTTTGTGCATTTACAAGATATTAATAGTGCAAAGCAAAAGTTTTCGAGATTAGTGGAATCTGACGTTCCTTTATGCCACATCTGATCACTGTGGGCTGTTCTGCTCTGTCAAATAAATTTTTCTCTCCCATGTTCTCTCATAGTTATTTGTGGGTTAGGTCTAGTTTACCCTTCAGATTACAAACATCTTTAACAGTTGCTAATGGAAGTGAAATTATTTAAACTTATGTTGCCTGAAATTGGTAGATACTTTTGGAGTAGATGCTTTGGTACTTTATGTTGCCTGAAGTTGGTGGATATATTTAGAGTACATTGCAAATCTGACACACAGTTTCAAGAGGACTTGTTCCTTTTTAAAATA